TAAATAGAACTAGAAAAAAAAAACAATCAGGACAAAGAAATAAAAAAGAATTGACAGCACAAAAATGAATAAATACTTATTATAGGAAGAAAAGAATAATAATACACAGAAAAAAGAAATGTAACGTCAAAGGTCTAAAAAGGTCAATTATTATTTTTCTGCGTCCTGGTTTCACAGTTTTGTGGTTGTATGAAGTACCAGTGTTTCTTCTGCTGATCCTGTCAACATGTCTCTGTCTCTTCGTGGAGCGATGACACAGGAAGCAGCAGTTGACACATTGATGTGACCAAGTGTTTGTTTGCGTGAAGGTAGGGGACAATGTATGTGAGTGTGTGCAGTTTTACAGGAAACTGACAGACTGGGAGTTGGGGTGATGGTAAACCACTGTTAGCAACAAAAAAAGCAAAAAAAAAAAAAAAAAAAGCAAGGCTTTGAATTTCAACATAGTGGTTTAAAATAAAAGTTTAGAGAAACATATTTAAAATAAAGTCAATATCGTAATCCAACCGTACGACCGTTCACTCTCACATTCACACTTAGCCAGTGTGAACAGTAAACCTATTTGGACCATGGGAGGAGAAAACAGGCAAACTCCATATAGAACATCTAGAATCAAACCAGTGCCCTTTTTGCTGTAAGGCACAATGCCTTATCACTGTTCTACGGAGTAGTCCCAAACTCTGAACTCTTTGACAGGTTGGTCTGTTTGAGTGGTTCAACCTGCTCAACCTCAAACCTTCTTTTACTCCTTACTGGTTGTAGTGGTCAGTGTATGAGGTCTTTTCTTTTTTTCTTGTTTAAGTCTCACTTGATTTTGTCATATGTAAAAAAGAGAAGAAAAAATTTTTTTTTACCTTAGACTCACGGCTGCTGGCAGCTGGTTTGGATCTCTGACCAATCAGAGAAAAGAAAGAAAATATTAGTATATGTTTAAAAAAGTGAATTAATCAAGTTCGATATGAAGGGAGAAACAATGATGATTCGATTTGAATTTTCTGAGCATTATTTTTTCTCGCTGTTCAAGTTTTTTTTTCAATTAGAAACAGCGCCTCCCTATGTAACGTGTGGAAATAATTTTTAGAAAATAAAGAAAAAGAAAATAATAATAATAAAGAAAAGTTAAAGCTTAATGTTCTTTAAACAAAACGGCTGACTCGGCTGAAGTGAAGTGATGTTCAGCCGTCGTCTCACCATCAGTCGGCAGTAGAGAACAGTCAGGATGACGCCGTACACCACCAGGACACCGTCCAGGATGTAGCAGATGTTCATGTCTCCGCAATCTTCTGCACACAGAGAAAACACAGCAGTATTTGAACCTTCATGTCTGACCTCCCTCCTCCTCCTCCTCCTCCTCCTCCTCCATCACCGCGGAGTCTTCATGCTCTTTTTCAATCGTCGTTGTTGAAGAGAACGACGTTAGAGTCCAGTTCTCACCTGCAAAACCTGGATACCTCATCAGAACCCCAGGAGAAGTTCACTGCTGCTTCATCTTACCAGAGTGGTCTTCAGAGGATGCGGTGGTCCTGTCTTTGTCGACTCAGCGGTGGTCTTGAAGGTTCCTGTCAGAGAAAATTAAACCCTCTCGTGTTTTATAAGAAAAACCACATGGGACAGGAAGTCCGCGGCGTCTCCAGCCGTTCTGCAGCTGTGGCACCACTCGGGTCGTCGGACCTCCCCTCAGCCCAGTTCCTGTGAAATCATATTGTTCAACTCCTTCTGCTCAGTAACAGGAACAGAAACTGAACTAGTGTTTGCAGGTCGGAGGAGGAAACACGGAGACATTTCAGCTTCACGGCCGTTCAGCTGATCTGAACCAGTTAGTAGGTTGGTCACATTGGAACAAAAAATAAAACAAAATAGAAAACAAATAAAAAATAAAAAAGAATAGAAAGTTAGAACACGCAGAGTGGAATAGAGTGAAAAGGAATAGAAGAGAACGGAGGATAGAACAGAAATAACAGACAGTGTCAACCCAGGAGACTGAAATAACGGTATAATAATAATAATAATAAAATGTCCTGGAGGTTTTAATCCAACGTCTTTCTTTTCTTTTTTTTTAAGGACCAAAGTTTCTACTTTTCCACGTTGTGTGAACTTTAAATATCTCTTGTTGAAATTGTGTCTGTTTCTCCTGATTCATATTTGAGTTTTCTTCAATTACAACTTTTAGTTTTAGATATTTTAAATATTTGTTTGCATGAATTTTTTTTTTAGAAAAAAGATGGACAATTATTTTTTTGGTTTGACTTCATTCAGTTTTGATATTTTTAGTTAGAAGACATTGTAGAGAAGATTTGATCATTTTAGCATAAAAAACAAAACAAAAAAACAACACTTTTCAAACACAACCCTCTGAATCCAAGTTTCCATCAGAAACCAATCACATGAGCCTCTTAATGAATAAATGGTTTAATAATGAAAAAAGCCTAACACACTATACAGGCTACAGTTACCAAAAAGAATGAAAATTCAAGACAAATCTACAATTGTTTTTTTTACAAGCCACTTGTTTTTCAGGAGTAAAAAACATTCAGAAAATTGCATCGTCTTAACTTAGGCACCGTGAACGGGATAGAAAAGAAGTTATTATTAAAAAAAAAACAACAACTTTGGAGCGGGGAGTTTTTCTCACACACGTTCATTAATAAAAGAAAGCGCCTGAAACAAGGACACGTCAGAACAGGTGTCTGGAGCTGATGCTGAGTCCAGACTCAGAGTCAGGAACAAACGGACAGTACCAGGAACTGTTTACGACACACTGTCGTCTCAAACAGTTTGTTTTTAAAATCCCAGAGTATTCAGGACTTCCTGGCGGACTCACAGGTCTGGTTCTAGACGGAGAAACAGGAAGTGGCGACTAAGTGGTTTTGATTTGACCTAAAACTGACAACAGTCAGAATTTGAGAAAGAAGAAATGGAGACTACAGTCTTTCAATAAAAAAAACTCTAAACTTCACTTCATTCATTTACAGGATTTTTTAAAAATATTTCTCTGTAGTTAAAACATTGGCGGTGACCGCAGGCAGGGACATGTTAATCAATCAAACAGTTCCTGGTACTCTGGGTTCCTGCTGCTTTGCGTTAAAAATAATAAAATCAACAGACGCTGCAGGGTCCCATCAGGGAAGCAGATGTGTCAGACGGCGGCACAGAGGCGAAGCGGTGAAGAGGTACTGCTGCAGGGACCAGTTACAATCACAAGGTCTGAGAATTCAAATGTAAAGTTTCTGGTTAATCCACGACGGCCAGAGGCGTCTGGACGTCAGCTGAAGACCCTGGTGTTATTCAACCTCTGGATCACAGACCACAGAGGCGTCACGTACATTAGAATATTAACCTCTGTGTCGGCACTGAAGACAAATTCATCCATTTGGTCAAAATGGGGGGGGGTCAATCCCAGCAGTCATCAGGAGAGGGCGTGGCTACACCCTGCACAGTTCTCCAGTCCATCACAGGGTCAGAGTATAGACATGATCCAGCATTCACACCAGCATTCACACCAGCTCATTCTTCTGCTCAGCTCCAGATCCAGACATGACTTCAGTATTTGACACATTCACTGACGACGAAGCGTCCGGACTCAAACGTTGTCTTTCTGCAAATGCTCTTGTGTCAGAAAGCAGCAAGATAATCTGCTCTAATCTGGTTTTGTTTTATTGGAGGGACATGGCCAAGTGTCGGCCAATCTCAGATGACCCCCAGATTCAACCCTGGAGTTCTGTTGTAGCTGTCGTCACGACAACAGGGTGAAGCTACAAGTTTGGACCAGCGTGTATAAAATCAAGGATTATTCATCCATTTAAAGGTCAGATTAAAAACAACGTACTGGCCCCGACGATGACACACGTTAGCCCCGCCCACATGATGCTACATTCTGTAAGTAAAAAAACAAAAAACAAAGTCAAAGAGCCTAAAAACAGAAGTGTGTCCTGGTGTTGAAACAGATGGGGGAGGGGCACAGTCAGAAGTCAGCTCCTGCCTACAGACAGAGGAAGTGACAGTGGTGATGTCATCTTCCTCCGGGCTCCATGTGTCGACTCAGCACAAACAAAAGTAGTCCAGTGGTTATGGCAAAGAAAAAGTACAAAGTTTCCATCTTTAAAAAAAATGTTTTTCCGTTTGTTTTTTTAAGTGTGTTGTCGAATTGAACCAACACAGAAAAAGTCAAGGCATCATGATTTTCTTTTGTTGTTTTTAGATTCAAACAATCGTTGAGCTGATCACAGTTTAATAATCAGAGCAGACCACCGGGGGGCGTCCACGTGTCCTGCACATCAACACCCCTGAGTGGACAGGACAGGACAGGACAGCAGAGAGGGACGCAGGGATGGAGAACACCCTCACCCCCAGGCCTCACACCGACGTCTCCGACTGCAGCCTCATCACAAACTTGTGGCTCTTGGGGTCGATGAACTCTTCGCCCAGACGCAGGAACGGCAGCGGCGTCACGGTCACCACCAGGGAGAAGTCCAGGCGCCGCAGGGAGAAGATCAGACCCTGACGCAGGGCTGACGTCACAGGCTCTTCACTCACCAGGGTCCACTGGCGCCCTCTGCCGTTCTGCTGCTGGTACTGCATGGTGGGGCCAGGAGTGAGGTAACGCTCCAGGAAAGCCTGTGGAGAAGGAGAAGGAGGAGGTTCAACACTGGAAACAAACTGTTTAAAAAATCTAAATATTGGCGTGAGTTTTTGACAATATTTAATAATATTTAGGTGATAAAGAAAGTGGCTACGACAGGTTCCAGGATCCACACACACCTCCACGATAAACAAACAAAGAATGTACTGTGTGTGTCTCCCACCTTGGGCGTCATGTTGTGTGTGATGCAGAACTGCAGGTGGGTCAGGATGCTCTCCATGCTGTGGAAGGCCTGCTGTCGTGTGGTCCTCAGATACTTCTGCATGGCCCGGGCCATCGGAGCGAAGATGGCCTGAGCCGCCTCCCGGGGATCCATCACCTCACGGGGGTGTTTTGGAGACGAGGCTACCTCGTCGTCGTGGAGACGCTTGATGTGTGTGAAGGCTTCTTCAACCGCCACCACCAACCTGAGAGAAGACAGGAGTGGGTTTGAGTCTCAGGGTTCTCTCAAAGCAGAAAAGAAAAGAACAACGACCAACTGCGTCCGTCTCCTAACTGGACAATGTCTTCATATATTTACAGGTGTGTGAATTCCCGTCATGTTAATGATCTGACCTGGCCTTGCGTTTGCGGGTCCTGCGCTCCATCTCAGCCTCCTCGTAGTAGAACTCATTATGGGAGTTGTCTCTCCTCCGGGCCGCAGCTGCGATCATGGCTCGAGACTGACCTGTGGAGTTGTTGGTTGTGTTTTCTGCAAAAAAAAAAGCAAACAGGAACGTCAACGTTTTGAACGTCAACTGTCTGATATGATTTTTTTAAAGCCAGTTGCTCAGACTCTCACAGAGGTTCTAAAAGCTGTATTTACCATCGAGAGAGTAAACCTTGAAGCCGGTCATCTTCTTGGACAGGATGGATTTGGGCAGGTTGAGCACAGCGGGGTTATAGACGGAGAAGTCACTGTAGTAGCGGTCCAACACCCAGACGGCTGCCCTCTGGATGCTGCAGACACAGGTTCAACCATCACTGACACTGATGGTGAAGATCACCAGCTTTCTGATCCACCCTGAAGGTAGAACAACTCACCTGAGGTGGCCCACGTTGTAGAACTTGCTGGCTCCATCTGTACTGCGCACCACCTTGAGGCAGAAGGCCGGCTGCAGGTGCCGGACCTCCAGCAGCACCAGGGCCAGGTACTGGATGAAGAGCAGCGCGTCAACCAGCGAGGCGGCGTACTCCACGATCCCCCTGTAGTCCCTCTCTCTGGGCTCCAGCACCCGCACGCCGTAGAAGAGCCAGTAGGAGGCCACGAACAGGAAGACCAGCACCATCAGCAGGCAGCGGAAGACGAAGAAGCGCGGCAGCGTGGCGCGGGAAGGGCGGAGGAACAGCGCCCAGGAGGAGATGAGCAGAACCAAGAGCTTGAAGGCCAGCGAGACGTAGAGACCTTCGCAGGGCGTTCCGCAGGGTTCTAGAGCATCTCTCCACAGCACCTGGGGGAGGATGAGGAAGGCCAACGGTGTGACCAGCGCAAAGAAGCTCAGGCAGCCCCCCAGGGCCGGGCCAATGAAACGCTTGCACTCCAGAGGAGTCGTCTCCTCCAGCTCTTTGGAGACACGAGTCAGGTCCTCGTTTGAGATGCTGTGCTCAGAGGTGCCGGTGACCACGGTGGTGGTCTCCCCCCAGTTGTCGTCCTGTCAGGTTGGTACAAAGGAAAAGATTAATGTGGGTTCAGAGGACGGAGAAACTCTTTCACTGTTCAATTCAAACACTGAAATAAACAAAAACACAAATTCACTTATTTTAACAACTCTCAGTCTCTCATCTGACAAAATATGATTTTTAGAGTATTCAATTCTGCGGCTGACCCTGTCGTCTCCACGTGTGGACTCAGCATCCAGCAGTGGCTCCCCGGGCGTCTGGATGGTGACAGATTTATCTCCACGACTGCTGCCATCGCGGCTCTTGGAGCGATGTCGATCCCTGCGATCCCTGCGTCAACACAGAGTCAGTAACAGATCACGACGCAGACACACGGCTCTGAGCCTACACCTCAGGTTCTCCTGCTCAGCTGACTGACCTGTGTTTACGGGAGCTCCTGGAGTGCGAGGACTTGTAAGAGTAGCCCGAGTACTGCGACTCGTTGTCCATGTCTCGGGTTGGTGGCGAGCGGGCTTTGCGAGCACCGCCTCCTCCTCCTCCCCCCGTGCCCCGCTGCTCGCCGACTCCTCCCAGCTGGCTCTTGCGCTCGGCGATGGACTTGGTGGAGAGAGTCAGGGGCAGTTTGAGCAGGTCAACCTTACTCCTGAGGGAATCTATCTTGAAGGCCGAGTAGGAGGGAGCAGGAGAAGGGAGGCCTGGGGAGACTGCAGGAAGGAGAGTCGCAGGAGGTCGGAGGTGACTGTGACCTGGAGGAGAGGAGCAGAGGGTCTTCTTAAACTCTTTGAACCAGAAAAACACACTCTTCTAGAAGCGTGTGTGAGGCCTCGCTAAAACACAGAGGAGGTTCCACTGCCAGCAGCAACTTCCTGCTTCATATTTTCTTGAAGGTATCGCACCACATCATCTCATAAGACACACCAACTCCCACAATTCTTAGAGGACCATCTGAACCCAACGTAACCTTCTTCCCACGTCTAGATGCCTCCAGGTCCTGACAGAAACCAACACCACTGAGAAGAACGCCCCAGTCCTTCAACCACAACATCTTGAAGAAGACTGAAGGTCGAAGAACTGTTTAAAGGCGAGCGGCATACACACACGTATGTAAAAATATATGTGTATATATTTATATACACATATATGACTAGATATATATATATAGAAACAAACAGTCAACATATGCATTACACATGTATACATGTACACACTACATCTCCGTGAGAAGAGTTTTGATTCACCCTCACTTGTCACACACACCAACACACACACACACACACACACACACATCCTCACACAGACTGAGCAGGAACTTCTGTTTTAGTCTGGGACTTTTTCTGCTCCAGATAAAACATGTTTGGAGGGGATTTTGGAAGATTTCCAAGTAAAATTGTTTATCAACCGTCCTGATCCGTCCGTCCTCCGACCACGAATACTACCGTATCTGACAGCGTTCACACACACACACACACAGACCGAGGCAGAGCCCGGGGCAGCGACTGCTTCAGTAACATGATCCCTTTAATCCCAGCCTGTTTCTACATCGTTTCATTCCACTTGACAGGTTTTAAATATAAACTGCTCCAAATTGGTCCTGAAGAGTCCACGGAGTCAACTCCGCTCCGAGTCGGTCCTGGTGGTGGTGAACTATTTCACCTTTACTTTACCACAAACACACATTTGTCTTTGTTTGAAAAAAAAAAAAAAAAAAAAACTTTTCCAGGATTATCCTAATTGTTTCTTCCTGTCACATTAACGTCTTGACAACTCTGTCTTTCTGTTGTTAGAAAGTGTTAACCCTGACACACCTACTGATCTTCTCTTAGTCCGTTGGACTGTTTTGGTTTTAGTTTAGTGCCGATGATGAGACGACCACGTGGAAGCCGGTCAGGAGTCTGAACCACACAGTTCAACCCTCACGTCTTTAACCCGACACTCCAGCAGATGTCGACATGAAGTGACGGCCCGACCGTCACCGCCGTCACACTGGTTGAAAACATCCTTCTTGTTTTGGCCCGGGGCCTTGACAACGGACGTGACGTCAGCGCGCTGAAGCCAGATTCAATCACAGGATCGCAGGAAGCGTCAGTCCAGTTCCGATCACTCAGAATGATCGAGCCTGTGTAAATACCACGTCTGAACAGAGCCTAACGATGTCAAACCAAGTTCACTCAATCAGGATTAGTGTCCCGTTACACGGCGGCACAGGAGCCAACGTCTGAGTCCACCTGTCAGTGGAAAGGTAATAATAACAGTCAGAAGTTAAAGGAAACATCCGTGTGTGTGTGTCGGTAGCTGTTTCGGGGACTGAACTGAACTCTGACCCCGTCACTGAGACTGGAGTGATCCGTGGAACATAAACCCCCTGAACCGACGCCGTCTTACACCACGGTCCGGGTCTCGTCTGGAGGTTAATCATCACACGACTGTACCTCCTCTCACCCAGGACCCGGCCTCTACCGCCGTTCGCTCGGACACAATGGCGGCCATATTGGATTACTGTGTTTTCACAAAACTTGTTTGCCCTCTCCCTCCCTCTGGCTGTCTCACATTCCCTGCTGCACTCCTCTGGTCTCCTGGGAAACCGGGCCTCTGTGCTGCCATGGCGATGAAAGAGGGTGTTCAGCTGGAGGAGGGGGGGGGGAGGTTGACAGTTGCTGTGGAAACCTGACCTCACGCCGCCCTCCGCCACTGTGTTCTCCACGTTGCCGAAAAAAAAACTGGCCAAATGAAAGTGGTGGAATGACGGATGTTGGAGCCTGGTCTGCTGGTTCACTGACACAGAGGGGGCGTGTCCTGCCGGCTCTGACCAGGGTCTGGGTGTGAAATCAAGTGGGACGTTTACTGCCGTCACTGTCTCTAAAGTCTCCCCCTGTAACTCTATGTGGCTTTTATGCTTCGGCACCACCATTGTACTCACAAACCACTTCCCTCCGAGGCAAATCCTGTACCACAGCAGAGCGGTCTGTGGGAGCCTCAGCTTTATCATCATCATCATATTAATCACTCCCCTCCTTACTTTCAGAGTCAGACGGGAAGCGCCCCTCATTCTGGTCCTAAATGCTCTAACTCTAACCAGACCTGGGACAGTTTTGCAGCCCTGCAGCCATGTATTAAATCTGTAGAATGTGCTCAGTCCAAACCACACCGCTCCAGTGACTAACAGCCCCCCCCCCCACGGTGTCATCTCAACCCTTTTCTCCTCTGTAATGACAAAGAAAAGAGCAAAGTATCTGCAGAGTTGCAGTGAGGAACACACAGATAATTGTCATGTTTAACGTCAGGGGTGGGGGGGGGCAGAGCCGCATGAAGAAACCCTGACAAAACAATTGCTCATTAAGTAAAATCAAGACGATCAAAGTCCTCCTCAGGGCTCTGGGCGTTTCAGGAACACATGGTTAATCCACATCCACATGGAGGAGCAGATTTAAGTGGTGTTTCTCTGCAGAGGAGACGAAGCGCAGAGCTTTAATGGAATCTAAAGAGTGTTTTTATCTGCTGGGTTTGAAGGTTTGGCTGGAACGTGGCCTCAACTTCAGGAGAAACGCCGTCTAAAATAACAATCTGAACTCATCACGGGCCTTACTGCCGCCTCTGCCTCCTTCATAAATAACAATCAGGCCATCGAGGAGTTTAATTACCAAATCAGACCCAGTAACTCAGGAGGATACAGACTTTAAGGTACCATTAAGACTCACTGTTACTGGACGTCTTCACAGGCACATGTGCAGACTGTCTTAGCTCTAGCCATAACCACGGTGGAAGACGTGCAGGGGACATGTGCAAAGGCCTAAGGGACCAATTAGAAGGGCCGAGAATAGAAAGTCTAGGTTTTAGTTTGAGGTGAACTAAAGGTCCGAGATGAGCTCCTGGACGACCATCCGTATGTTTGGGTAAAAGTCTTTTAAAGGCACTCAAGCATTTTACATGTAAGTTGGGTTGACCATAGATAGTATGTAGTAAATGGACATGTGGAAAGTTGCAGGTTCAAAACAGTGTCCTGTTGAAAGGTCAAATGGTTCAGGAACTAATTTCAACTGTTGTAATGTATGTGACCACAATCTTACACCAACTTGTTTCTATAGCAACCAAAACCAATGCCACAGTGGACGTCAACTTTATCAACAACCCCAAATAAGTGGAGAGATCCCCGTCCGTGTCCGACCTCTGCCAAGGTCAACAACTGCAGCATACGCCGCAGTGACCTCCTGGTCATGAGAGCCACAGGTTTACGAACAATTAACAACCGTTTTTTTTAAGAGGCTGAAACTGGGGGAGAAGTGAAGGCCAAGAACCTGCAGCTCTTCTCAGGTAACATGGGTTGTCACTCAGAGCGCAGCCAAAAGCGTAGCCTTTATCTTTCACATCTATTTGACCCTCAAACTGATCCGTAGTTTACAAAATGAGCCCTTGTTCAACAGGGCTGAAACGAGAAGCTGTGAGAAGAAAGTATTTCCTGGTGTTATTCTATGTCAGACGACTGAACAGTGTTTTCTGATGGACACAGACTGGTCCGTCAAAACTGACCGCGTCGTAAATATTCCTATGTTTTCGATGCAGGTGAGTCACTGAGGTGAGTCACTGAATGTTTTGATTGAAGCATAGACCTGTAAACTGACCTGGGGACACAGAAGGGTGAGTAACACTAGACTCACCCACATTATTCACTTTACATAATAAAATGCACAGAGCGGAAGCTGTGATACGATGATATGAGAACGACTGTGACGGCACAAAAAAAAAGTCACATTTTTAAACCAATGGTCGGACTATTATTATTCCAACCGTTAGCCAACATTAGCATTGAGATCTAGAGATTTCCTGATTAGAAACACATGACAAGAATAATATAAAATTAATCCCAGACATGTAGGTTTTTTTCCTAAAACAAAATGCGGGAAATTAACCTTACTGTAACAGACAGATTTTCTGGCCAAGAATTATCTATTTGTGGACGTAACTGTAATCTTAAATTTTATTTAGCATTTGCCCAAACCTAAGCTAGCTAGTCTTTACCAATTCTAGGTCGAATTCTTAGGGCACAAAGGTTTCTTTCTGAGTTTTTAAAGGACAATTCCAGATCATCTGTCCTTCAGCGGAATTGAACGTCTGACCCAGGTTAACTGTACCAGACGTTGTCTTTCAGGAACAAAACAAACACAATCAACTTCATACCAGTGACCATAACCTGAGATTACCCACAATGCTGTATATATGCTATTTCATAGATTTGGCTAAAACCAACAGCCTAACCTGTAGGAGCGGAGGACACCTGATACCCACACATTGTGTCCGCCTACGACCTTTCCCGTTTTAATAGGAGCCTGTCTGTTGACCTGCCCGTCTCTCGCTGTCTGCCTGTTTAGTGTGAATATCGCAGAAACACTTGATCTAAAGGTGTGGTCCATCGGTGACAAGGGTAAGGTTTCTCTATTCATCCCCGCGTCCTATGGCCTACTTAATGAACCACATCAGCACTTCAGGCTCAGCCCATTTGTCACACAGACTTCAGGATTGGTTCCAGGTTCAAGTGTGCAGCTCTGTCTGAGCAGACGTTGACGTCAAAGAGCACAAAAATGTACAAAACAATAATGAGTAAATAATCAAACTGTTTGAGGCCTCGGCCAATCACAGTCTGCTGTGAGAGCACAGCTTATAAACATTCTTTCCCATTGTTCCTCGGCCGCCATTGTTCCCCAAACAGTAGTGTGATTCTTCAGGGTCGTTTCAAGAAGATTGAACACAAAAACACACACACACAAAAACACACACAGCTCATTGATTTCTAACAGCTCTGCTTCAAATAAAAGTCTGACCCTTGTACATTTAAAACTCCAATGGACGCAACAGGGCCTGACTCTGTGTGTGTGTGTGTGTGTGTGTGTGTGTGTGTGTGTGTGTGTGGTCTGGGATTTAACTGTACGGATGTGAGACTTCAGATCTACTGGTGCCATGCTTGGTCCGTTTTATGACTCCAGCCAACACTTGGTGGGAAACTATTTCAGGCAGTTAAATATCTACTAGATGAAGAACAGAAATTTGAATGGAAACAATCAACACCAACACCGAACAGACAACAAGTTGATCTGTACAAAAAGACAACGTTGAATGTGAATAATGGAAATAATTATAGTTTTTTTGTGTGTTCTTAAAAGCCCGTCATTTAGTGCACATTTTCTGTGTTTGTGGACACGGACAAACTGGTGTCATTGAGGTTTGATCACCAGGACTGAGTGGTAAAGAAAAACGACGCTCCTATAAAACCATTATTATTGTGCATTGGCAAAAACCTGTCAATCACAATTTGAATATTTCTGAGTCCCTCCGTCTGTGGCTTCTTTTTCTGTTATATTTCCCATCTGTCGAAATCAATTTTACAATGAAAAGGAAACCAAACTGCTTCATCTGTGGTTTTGTCCGCCGTTGTAAATAATCCCTAAATCACAGGGTCCGGCCATAGTGAATCAGGAATTCTGTCAGGTCGTTTAAAAACAAGCAGATGTTGGACTTTACAGCCTCCTTTTAGCTCCAGGCGCTGAGAAATCAAGCTGTCATCAAATGTCAGGAGCGGCCGGCAGTGAGACGGCAGCTGTGGTGACCAGCTCCGCTCTACTGCCTAAATACCAACTGTGAAAATAAGCATGCTCACAGCTAGCCTCCAGCCGAGTACGGGGCTTATCACTGTACCAGGGCCACACACACACACACACACACACACACACACACACACACTCGACCACCACCCACTGCTGCCTTTCATGACATCAGTAGAAAAACCAGGGAAAAACAGGACAACTGTTACCACCACCACATCACATGACCAGCAAACCAGAGCAGGTGTGTGTGTGTGTGTGTGTGTGTGTGTGTGTGTGTGTTGCAGGGTGTGGTTGAACCAACAGTCACATTTACTGCCCTGTCCTACAATGATTCACAAAGACCACCGAGTTCAGTCTGCCTTCATATCAACACACACAGCTGTGGGGAGGGGGGACGGGGGGGGGAGAGCCGAGGAGACAGGAAGTAGCCCAATTAGCTCAGATTGGATAATTGTGGTTTCGATTCAAGAATCTTCGGGGGGGGGAGCGGGGGGCTCGAAGCCACGGCTGTCGTGTATTTTAGAAATTATGGGAAAAATCTTCGTTTAATAGTGAACACAACAAATTCACTTCAACGGATCAAAAATGAATCAAATCATTTGAAAACAGACGCTCTGAGGGCGTCTGACAGAGCAGGGGATAAAAATGACTGAAACACGTGGCCAGTGTTGAACATGTCACTAAGTCTGAATATTTACAGCAGAACAACATGACGTTACTGACTTCCTTTATTGACGCCTCAGAGTGAATTTTAATTAAAGCCTGGTTTCCCTAAAGAGCACCCCCTCCAGGAGGACGCAGTAACTACTTATATATTTTTTTACAGTTCAAGTCTCGCTGACTGAGGTTTGAAACAACCACGTTTGTCGGTTTAGTTCTTCATATGCTGTATAGATACACACACATTTCCTTGTATGAGTACACCCATATATCCACCAGATTTATCCACCAGTTCAAACCTTATTTTAGACAAATTACTTCCTGTGAGCACAGCCTCCGCTGGGCAACAGAACCCTAAATCCCCCGCTACAGCAGTCATAAATAAAACTGTGATTCTTGAAGCTAAGGTCGTGCGCAGAGTTGCAAAGTACGGCTTTAGTAGAAGAGAGCAAATCAAACTGAAGAAGTCTGAACCAGCAACCGTTATTATTACAACATTATTATTTTTGTTATTACTGCAACAGTGTCTACACACACCTTGAGAACTACTGTATTGTGTGAACTATGTCAAGGAAAAAATACATAACAAGGCCGTTACAAATAGAACGTAGAGTAGAGCCATCGTTCATCCTCTGATATGATCACATTTCCACCAGTTTTACCGACTCTGCACTGAAATGACAGAGTTTGTTCGAATGTCATGCTCTCATGGCTGAGAGTCACAGCTGATAAAAACTGTACCTGGTACCGTGTGATTTAAACCCGTGAAAACAAACAGGTTGTTGTTCATACCTGTTGAAACCACGGAGTGAGAAAACCGATGATCCCGCGTGATGCTAGCCCTGCTGTGGTAAATACATCACGTGTTTCTACGAAGGTCACACTTTGTTGATGCTACTGTGTCCATGTGGACAAACTCCAGATGAGCACCAGGAGGTTCTACGAGGACTTCACATCTGTGTTGACCTACTACACTTCACATTCAACAACTGAAACATGCAGTTTACTAAATTATCTTGAAAAAAATACAATAAAATATCTAGAAATATTCCTCTGTCGGCTTCTTGGCCTCAGTACTGTTTCTGCTGTCATAAAAAAGTTCAATATTTACTGCAAGATTTTCAAGTACTGATTAAGAATCTGATGAATAAATTATGAATAACTTGTTATTGCAGCCCATATACTACATACTTCAGTTCAATATTTTCAAGGTAAATCTTTTTAACCAAGTGCTCATTCCTGAAAATCCTATTTGTGGAATGTTGTGGAATTATGTGTATCTGTGTTTTTTGTGTTTTTATTGTACCATATAAGATTTAAATATCCCCAGAACTAATTATTTTTCATTGTCAAATATCTGTTGATTATGAACCGTGACAAATAAATCTAACTTTGTATCTGCTATAATTTTGTAATTTCTTATTATTGGTCGGTACGCAATTAATACCGACACTGATTCATGTTATGTGTATTGCGATAACTTTTTTTAAACTGCCACCAAGGCATGGTTTCGTACACACTGTGGCTCTGCGTTACTAACTAGGCAACAGTGTGATATCGATTTAGCTTTAAAACCAAAATAAAAATCAATACATCGGTGAGGAAAGTGTTCACACTCCACAGGCACAAAAAGGCAAATAAAACCAGAAGGAAACTTACTGCGACGAAGGCGAACACTGAGTGTCGTTCGACCTACAAAATGAGAAAAAATGAGGCTGCTGTAGAAAAAAGGTAGGACAATGGGTGACTCCCAGGCCCCACTGGTGTCGTCCTGGAGCTAAATTATCCCGAAGCTCTTCCTTTTCCTTCTCCTTTCACCCTTTTCAACCGGGACACGGTAAATGAATGGACGCTGCTTTCGCTGCCGAGTCAAAAAATTCGGCCTGGAACCAAACCTGGATCCGCCGCCGCCGCCGCTGTTCCTTCCACTCACATCTCCCTCTCTTCCCTCCTGGATCGTATTTATTTTCAAATAGAGGGGAATAAAACCCCCTGCTATAAAGTCAACAGCCCCCCACCCAGGTTTTAAAATCGACCCTCGCAGCTACGTGGCCTGTGTGGACAACAATGAGGCTCTAAACTTCCCTGTGGTCTGCAGCAGAAAAAACGGCCACCATCGCCTCCTCTCCACTATTGTTTGGGGGAAACCGGAGATCTCCTCCTTCCACCCCCCGTTTTCTCTCTCCCTCCGCGGCTCTCAGGAAGCCACAAACCACCGGCTCCACCGACCAACACCACCCGCAGCATTTCAACACATTTATTTCCAAGGGAAAAAGATAGAAAATGCTACTTACTTAAAGCGTTTCCTCCATGCAGGTATTTTCTCACTTTCCACTTTCTTTCCACTCCGCCGTAGCAGCCGTGACCACGCCTACTATACAGTTAGACTCCGCCCACCGCCCCACCGCGGGGGTTGGGAGTGGGGGTTTGATATCTGGTGTTCGTCAGTGAGTAAAACATCTTTGTTCTGAATTTTTTTCCAATTAAACCCTTTATTTACATTTAGTTTATTTTTTCCGCTGCAGTAAAAATACAGAATTATTTTACAGTAATGACAAATCTATTTTCCCATACATTTAATAATAAGACGTACATGTGTTTAATCTTGGAGTTTCTGTGCTACATTTTCGTTAGATTTTAGACAATTTTAACGGATTTTGTAGCATTTTAAAGACATTTTCTATATATTTTGCTTTGTACAATAAGTCCAAAGTCCATGGCAAAGCACCAAACAGAGAAATAACTGAAAAAGAAGCAATGTTTATTTCTTCACCAAGGCATCACAATTGAATCAAGCCATTAAATGTCAACTGTCAACCAAATAAAAACATTTGCATGTGTGGTGTCAAAGTTTGAAGATCTGAATCAATACAGAGTACACAGCCATAGTACCAACACATATTAAATATCAGAATATTTTTTCTGACCAAAGAAGAATTTAGCAGCTGATTTGTGACAAGTGAAGAATCCGACTGAAACTTGTTTTATTAACATAAACATCACAATAAAATAAAAATGACAACTACATACAAATGCAGTTTGACTGTGCGTGTTAGGAATGGATTTTTTTAAATTTATAAACTATCATTTTTTTTTCTCCACTATGTCCCAGAAACTACAAAATCAGAGTTGTGTAATTTGAATGTGATTTCTTGTTCACTGAATCATTAAGTGGTATTTTTTATAATTAGAAGAAAGTGATAATTTAATTACATGACAGAAGACTAAGGCTAAAGTATTGCACAAAAGCAATTCTCATACAACACACACACACTCGCTCGCTCACACACACGTGCAACCCTGCAGTCTCTCAGTTACACACTCCCATTTAAAGTTCCATAATTAAACCATACACAGTGAACAAAACATTCATTGACAAAAAAAGAAGAAACTACAGTCAGGAATATGAACATCTTTTCCACTGGTAGGTCCACCTGGTGCCGGACCAGTATTTAATTCTGATGATTCCTGAGCCATCCGGGCCAGTCCTGTCATCATCGCTCTGATTCAGTCTCTGTACAGTACACAAAACTGTTGTCTAATAAGCCCCGCCCCCTTTCTTTTGCTGCTGTCACGTATTTGCTGTCCGTGTACCTGCTCAGGTTGTTTAAAAAAAAAAGTCCTTTCATTGTCTGGCTGGGATTAAAAGTAGTAGTAGTTGTACTTTAACAAGGAGTAATAATTAGTGGTCCTGGTCTGTGTGGTGTCCTTGTGGCTCAGTAGGTGGCGTTGGTGGGTTCCCTTACGGAATTGAAGAGTATGTCGGCCTTGGCGCTGATGGCATACGTGAGGAAGAGCGACGTTAGCAGCACACCGATGCCAACAGCCAGCGTCAACATCAAGAGAAGGACGACATTTTTTTTTTTTACAAAATGAAAAACAAAACCTCAATAATCAACGTATGAGTTCAGGTTTTTACCTCCAGCTCGTGACTGGCCACCAGGAATATGCGTCCTGTGATGGGCTTCCACCTGGACTCTGTCCACGTGGAGTAGTCCGCAGTGGTGTACTGCTCCAGTTCAAACGCCGGAGACACAGCTTTGGAATGACGAACTGTGGAGCGGACACAAAATCCCACCCTCTCTGTGCTGTTAGGGGGCGCTGTGCCCTGAACCCAGAAGTAGTTGTAAAACTGAGGGGAAGACAAAGATACAACACATTTAGATTCAGAGTAAAGGAGTGACATAAACAGACACAGAAGAGTTTAAAACGTTGATCCCACATGTTTGTTCCGTTTGTCGTCCTCATCCTGCCTCTGGTTCTGGCAGTTTTCCTGGGTGACGTTGACGACGCTGCCGGTCAGGTAAGCCAGCAGATACTTGACCGGGAGGGTGGGTTCACTGAACTGCTGGATGGGACCGATGTACATGTTCATAGGTCTGTCCTCTGAGGTGAAGACAAACAGGAAGATGGACTTGGTTATAGGCGTTTTTGAAGCACATTTATCTTCTTTATTTTAATGTTTTACTAACTACTAAGAAAAGACACTCGGTTCTTATTGGTACTAACTGAGATGACTGGCGTGTTCTGCAGGGACGAACTGCTGGAACCAGGAGTTATTTGAGCGAACGAGGAAACTGTAAAGCATCCGGGTGACCTGAGAGAAAACAAAGAAAAAAAGAAGAAAAAGAAATATAAAATGGTGACTTTATTTTTCTTTAAATCAATATAAAAAAAAGTCAAACTAACTATTTGGGGGTCTGCTTTGATGTCGACCAGCTGATCTTCTGCTCCTCCTGCCTGCATGTAGAGAGCCCGAGCGACCAAGGTGGCCACGTCGGTCAGAGCCTGAGAGGAAACGGAGAGGAAATGAGAAAAACCCTCATCAAAACGTCTGCTTTTTCAGAATCAAAACTAAAAAAAAAACCCAAAACATTCAAATACGACATTGTTAGCAATTCGTTATTGCAGACTCAGCAAAAAAAAGCAAAATGGATTAGAATGACTCAGATGAAAACTGTGACGACCTTCAGTATCAGTATCACATTTATTGATTTGATTCTAAACTCGTCTTATCCTCAGTTTCCTGAGAAGCTGAAAAAATTAATAACAAATGAAATTCTGATCTAAACGTCAGAATCCCGGGTTTATTTGAAGACAACAATTGATTCTTTTTAGTTCAGTGTATTAAAATAGATAGGAGTCCAACAGTCAGGCTCTGACTGCAGATCTGGACTGAATACCTTTGCCGTGTCAGTGACAAACTCCAGCTGCTGATCTGGAGTCAGATCTGTTGGATACGACACGTTCAGGTATTCGTTGTTGTCATACATGCTCTGATAGAACCTGCACACACAAACAAAACACAGTCATCACAATCCCATGGTCCCAGATATGACACCAGTGTAAAACATCAGTCTTGGGCGGCGGCGGCTCTGAATCACCTGTTGCTAAACTGGGACTGATGGTCCTCCAGGACCACCCCGGGAAAGGGCCGAGCTCGGAGGAAACGCTGGAAGGATGATGGCGGCAGCGGCTGGGAAAAAGACGGCGACACCGGTGTGACGCTCAGATTTGTAGCAGCCAATCGCAGCTTTTCAATCAGTGCCTGAACCTGAAAAAGAAAAGGAAGGACCTTTATAGTCACGCTGCATTCCTGGTCATTCCATCAAGCTCTCCAACTTCTGTCTGTGACAAACTAAAGACCATTCCACTCACAGCCAGTAACAACAAAGTGGAAACTAACCTCTGTGTTGATGCTGTCGTTCTTCCTGGACACAGGATCAGTGTGAAGCCATAGGTCGGAATCAGCACGAAGTCCAACCTGTGAGATTTAACATGTCATGTCATAACATGTCATGTCATAACATGTAAACACAGGTCATGGCTTCACATCAGTCTGTGTCATCATTCAAGTTTTATCTAAAACTCTGTCGGTCTGGGTGTGTGTTGATATACAAGTCAGAAATATGGAGAACACACACACCTGTCCAACCTCCACCACTGAGTGGACATTGTCCAGGTCCAGTGGGAACTGGTTTTGCTCCATGTCATACACCATCCTGGAACTGCCGATGTAGTCGAAGGTTTCCTGGGAAAAAAAAAAGCAAAGAACCTGAGTCAGACTGACTCCAGGTGGAACAGAAATAATACTGTAAATACTGCAGTGTGTACACAACCGACCCCCTGGAAAAAGGTGTAGAGGATTGTGCGGTTGGGCGGAGTCTCCTGGGTGATGTTACGCAGGGCGTGAGCGGCCGCCAGCAGAGCGACAAACCCCGAAGCTGCACTCTGTCCTCCAGGAGCAATGTCATAGAAAAACGACCGGCTGTCCAACTGAGGGCCAGAAGAAAACATTCACATTGTATTTATCTGGGCTTCACTAAAGGTTAACGACCTTTGGTCTTCAACTATCTCAGCATTTTAAGGTAGAAGTGAGAGAAGAAGAAAAAAAATCACATTTTTGTCTAACAGATGAAAACAGAGCAAAAAGAAAAGGTGTGAGAAAACATCACTACACTGAAATATCCTGATATTCCTGATCCCGTATCAATCTCCTCCTCCATCAGTTATTGATTATTTATCACAATTCCCAGTCCAATATTCATTTTCTCTTTTTCTTTTCTTTCTTCTCTAGTGATTCCAAATGTAGATCCATCTGTTCCAGTGTTAGGAACTGATGTTCAGATGGAACAGAGTCTGAGACTAGGATCACACTGGGATGACAGATTAGGGAAAAAACTATATCGCAATATATCATATCATTTCCCATGTACTGTGATGTATAACCTATGGCCAGATTCTTAATAACACACACCCAGGTGTAAGGATGAGCAGAGTAGGAGAGTAAGGAGGCAGATGATCCTACATGCCGACTCACCCTGGCTGCAGCGATGACCACACTCTCCCACTTCTTGTGACCCTTTTCTGTGTTGTTGATGGGCCTGGTGGAGCTCCAAATGTTCAAGTCGCCCAGTGGGTCACAAACCTTATCTAGAAGACAACATCATTTTCTCAGTCAAGACGTTTTAGACCCTGTAAAAAAAGGAATACCTAAAATGTATCCCAGAGTTCCTTTTGCTGCTGTCTGAATACCTGGCTCTGCTTCGAAGTTTAAGGCGTTCCTTCTCATGCAGGTGGCCGTGTCCGTGACAGCATACATGTGGGAGAAGAGCTCCATGGCACAGAGTGGGTACTGAGTGCTGCCGTTTACAGCCTGGTTATGGTCAAAGTAACACTGGGAATGGAAACACAGAAACATTTACAGGTAAAATGATAAGATATCATCTTTATTCTGTCAGGAAAAGTGAAGGTTTGACTCAAAACTGTGGGTTTATTTTCAGGATGTAGTTATTATGAAATCCTGATAACATCTTCTCTAAAAGTAGATACTCATGTACCAATTTTGTCTGTTTGTTTTATTTGAATTGTTCCTCTCTGGCAGGGACATAAAGGATTCTTCCTTATTAAAAAAATGACACTGATCTGTTTAAACGTCTTCACACGTTTGAGGCTTTCTTTAGTCTCCCTGATCATCAGGAGGAGAACAGGTTCATAACTCATACAAACAGCTGCGTTGGTATTCACTTTGATTCATCTGTCAGCAGATCAACAGCAGATGCACAGATTATAAAGCAAGGAGCTGTTGGAATATTTGTTTTCTCCCGTTGATCTGATGATAAGATCTTCTAATGAATCCATGAAAGTTGGACTGAACTTCTGCAAAACCCAAGTGGGAGGACGGATGGAAAACATTGTTTCAAAAGTATGGGCCAATTGAACTTGTAAAAAATATAAGTGTAGTATAATTTATTTGACAGAAACTAGTCATGAAAAATATATAGAAAAATGTTGAAAAAATGTTATTGTTAATAATGGTAAAAGTAAGAAGACGATGTTCCGGAGTGAAACCAGTCCAGTGGATCACATGGCCACTGTAAAAGCACAGCGGAGACGATCAGTGAAGTGGAAACTGAAAGCTGAGATAAAGACAGGCTGCGTTCATGTTAAGCACTGTGTTCACTGTAATCTGTGAAAACACGAGGCCCACACAGAAACACGAGTGCAGACAGAAGAGAATTCCTGGACCAGACGTTGAAACACGATCTGCCTGTTTTCATCCTACACAGCAGCAGAAAAGCGGCAAAATGATTTGTGGGTTCAGATAAATAACGTCGACGTAATGTGCCACAACATGCCCGACGTTGGGCTGGTTCTGTGTCGAGCTCTTTTCTGGCGCTGTGTCAAAATCCCAACCTGCAGCACGGAGTGGAGTTCAGATCAGATTCTACTGGAGCTGCACATGAAAGGGTTTCTATGTTCCTTAGCACCAGAGGCGGGTGGAAAACAATTAGACACACACTTTGAGTGGTGACAACAAAGATGAAGGATGTGGTCCCTGAAAGTACAGCCCAGATCAACACACTGAATGTTTGCTTTTCTCCTCACCTGCTTCATGACCCGGGTGTCGTTGTCGTCTTTGAGAGAGAATATGGGAAAACCAAACTCTTCGTACGAGAGGCCGTTTCCAAGAGGGTTCCACACCGTCGTGTTACAGTTGGCCAAGCTGGGGTCGTACGTCTCCGTGTACAGACCTGAAAGGATACTTTAATCAACTTTCGTGTACATTTTCACAGAACTTTTTTCACTCTGACTTTTTTTCCTTAAACTCAATGTGAAACTGTGATGTTTTGATTCAGATCAAAGAGGAATGGATTTACATCTTCCACAGTGGGATTACAAACCAATGGACTGAAAATATTGCTCCAATGACAGCCCTGACTAACAGGTTACGCAGCTGTGTTCACATCCCATTAGTCAAACTTCAAATCTAAACAGTCTATACATTTTTCCACTTCGGTAGCTGAGCCCTCTGGGGATTAGAAATATAAATTTTATCTCAGTGACTTGTGCAGCACTAATGGGACAAGTTATAACTTGCACAATCTCCACCCACCTGTGTTCTGGTTGGGACAGGTGGTGTGTGGAGAGAAGCTCTTTTCTGGGTTTGTGTTTGGCGCCACAACAGCGACGCCCGCCACTCTGCTGGAGCCATTCTTCAACTGCATCATGACGGATCTGAGAAACAGACAGTTGACAGGGGCAGGAAATTATAGATGTAGTCAGTTGATGGTGTCCCTAAAATATCTGGGTTTGTCCCCAGAAGTTTCCACATCACAAAAACATCTTGAAAGGTTTGGTAATTCAAATGTGTTAGTGTACAGCAAAAAGGGCAACTCAAGTAGATGGCAAGTTAGCTTAATTGATCACTGGGCTAAAGATGAGCGTGTACAGTAAGTAAAGAGTTCACTAAATTGCCTGCAAAAAGACTAAAATATATACATATTTGTCTTTGGCTTAAGATGCATTTAAAACATATTTTTCCCTACCTGGTAAAAAGCGGGGTGTCTATGATGACCATGTAAGGCGGATTGGGACCAGAACGCAAGACCCAGTCCAGGTTTTCCTCTGTCTGTAGTACATGGAGCACACCAACGTTACCTGCATTTGAGGCTGAAAAACAGAAAAAAAGAGAGATTCCAGAGCGATTGATTTATTTGTCTTCTAAGCCGAGAGCCTGAAGCGATATGCCAAGTCCTACTTAATAATGACAAACCCACACTGAACATTTTAGAGACTTCAAACTGTGACAGGTAGTAAATACCACATCTATTCATTATGTTACTTATTCCCTTTAATGTACTGCCTGACTTACACTGGCAGCCTATTTGATGTGTTGCATTAAGCAGTCGCACACATGGAATGGTGTAATTGAGCTTGACATAAATCTTCTTTTCCACTGAGTTACAGCTGACACCTGTAAGACAAAAGAAAAAAAAACATTTATTTCCTCACACCAAGGTGAGGTATTAAAGACACTTGAAAGGCTTCAAAATTAAAATACCACATTTTGCCATTCTGTGCTAAAATTCTTAGGGTTCCCATCACTGATCATGTGTCCTCTTTGTATTTTGAAGTGTTTTTCATGTGCAGCATGATCTGGCCATGGGTGAAATCTGAATAAAGCACCAATACAAAGCTGACGTGTCAAGGAACACAAAATCTGACCTCCATTACCCGAGGAGATACTGGAGGTTTATTGTTTTGTAGCAACCCATATCCTCTGACATCACAAGAAACAAGATACAGTGTAATGACTCCAGGTTTATGAGCTCACCAATGTATGTATAAATGGAAGGGCGCACATTTCGGTGTATCACTAAAATAAGCAGAATATTAAAATGTAAATTCTATTTACATTTTCATATCTTGGATAATCTAATATCCTTCTTATGAGCAGAGGGTTTGACATTGGTGAAGGTTACAGAAAAATATTATGGAACTAACACCTGAATCTAGAAATATTGCATATTAGTAAAACATATTTTTTAAATAACATTTATAAACAAAGGAAAGGCTCCAAAATTGAATAAGCCCTGTTGCATTTCAATTTTTAATATTTTGTTCATAAATTTTATTTTGTTCGTTTGCACCTAATTCACAAAACTGTATTTTTGTTATAAATGCAGGTAACCTATACTATATCCAGGGTTGTTAAAAGAACACCATGAAGTTTCAACAATCAGTTTTGTTTTCAAAATGCAGGTGACGTTTTGGTCCACCACTTCTGTTGTATACACTTTTTATTCTTGCATGATAAATTACAAAAAAACACCTATGTTTGTATAGTGTTCCGCTATGTCATCACTTAGCTGCGGGCGGAAACGGGCTGGAAATCACGAGCAGTCACGCCGATTTGGGCTTACAGAGAGGAGAGACAGGCAACCCAATTGAAAGACTTTTTTTTTTTTCAAAAGCACAATGTTAATGTTTGACGTTACTTTGCTGAACAATAAATCTCGTCGACGTCCCCGCTACTAACCCTATTATAAAACGTTTAAAGAACATTAAACAAAGGTCTAAGAGTGTTAGCCTAGCATTAGGCTAAACAACAGTACAAAGAATTCTGACATACACAAAAAAACGCACGTACACGCGAATACAGAATAGGAAGAACACAACTTACCAATGAAAAACCAACAAAACAGCAAATTACTGATCCACTTGTGCGATGTAAAATCCATCTTTGAAAAGGTTGTGTTAACTTGTTTAGGTCCCTGACGTTAGCAGGGTTAGCCTAGCCGAGATTCCAAAGTCCTCAAAGCCACACATAAGCTGGGGGTTCACGACTCAACATCAACCCTACAAAGAAAGGGTGTACGACTACTGCTATATATTCATATAATTATCAGCGAAAAGTCGTAAATGAACACAAAACGACAGTAGGGTGGGACGCTAATGGAGGAGCTAAACAATATACGTCAATCCGTGGCTCCGGACACCGCTCAACAACTTGTAGTCACAAACGCCTCACTTTACGGCACTGTCGCGCTGGTTTCTAGACTACATGTGTAATGGATTTTTGCAATTCTTTTGCCATCTTCCTGGTTTGTGTGAAGAAAATAAACGACGAGGGATGTTGGAATTGGCAACATCCGGGTTAATGATCTTTGGTTCCGCTTTTGTAACAAATTAGCTGTGAAATGACACCTATCGTCAAAAACACTGCTCTATTTATCCCAGGATCTCTAAAGAGGGCAAAGGGCGGCACACAGAGGAGGAAAGAAGTACAAGTCAATATTAAGAAGAGATAAAACATAGAGGCCATATCACATTTATTATATATACATGTTGACAATTGCAAACTTATTGTAAAATGTGATTTACTTAGTACAGATAAAACACTACTCACCAACGAAAAACCAATAAAACAGTAAATTACTGATCCATTTGTACTGACGGAAATCCATCTTTGTATCCAAGATCGTTTATGGTCAGCCCAAACACCAATCTCACAAAACCAGGGCTGACATCTACCGTATTTACTTATAAATACGCAGTCATACTGGAGCTTAACACTATTAATGTAGGGCGGAATGCGAATGAATCAGCTGAGTTCCGCTCACCAACTTGTTTTTACAAGTCCGCTTTACGGCAGTCGCGCTGGCTGCTGGGCAATATGCGTCAAAGGTTAATTCCCTCAATTTATTTTTACATTATTGAGGTCGCATACAAAGTGAAAAAAAACATGTTTGGGTCCAATTTTTCCTGTTACAATCTCGATGTAGAAAGCAGAAAACACAACAGGAAGTGTTGCATTTAAAACCTGTTTCCCTGTGGTTTCACTTCTGAAAAACAAGCTTCCTGATCAGAACTTAGTCACCGAGTTTCAAGGTCTTTTTTTTCAATCTTAGTCACCGAGTTTCAAGGTCTTTTTCAACAACGCATATATTAACAATATCTAAGGTCATGTTTGTTTTATCTATATTACTGATACTTGTAATATTCAACAGAGACCACAGTAGCTTATCCTGGCCTATCACCTTAGCTTCATTTAAACGTATTTGATTACAAAATGTATTACAGTTTGGTTAGTCAATGCCACATAAACCAACTTCACCGATTTTCTTTTTTTATTTGTTTTCCCCACATACATAGAATATCGTACTTTTGACTTTTTCATGTTACACAGGTCAGAAAAAGAGAAGTCGAATAATAAAACAGAAGCACAGAGAGGATGATGATCATCAGCATCAGCAAGACAAGGTCATTTGCAGTAAAGAATGATGCAGTGATTGGATAAAATTATTTCACATCATTGTGAAGAAACATATATTTCTAGTTTAATTTCTCATCGCAAAATCTGTATTATTTTTAAGGTGTAACACTTGTGGATGTGTTTTTCTTTGCTTTTTCTTTTTATTGGAGTCGGCTCTAACGGAACTGAAGTGGACTCACACGCAGACCAATCACATCTTTGCCGATCTCTGTCACCTGAAAGTGATAGAAGGACACAAAAATGGAATGAGTGATCATAACTATAAAAATGCTGTTTTCTTATTTAATTCAAATAACCTACATTTTAAAAATATTAAATAAAGGTAAATCTTAATTATTACTAACATTTTCAATAATTTATAATAACATTAATAATACAACAAAACATGTTTATCCACCCACCCACCCACCCACCCACCCACCCATCTTCAACCGCTTATCCGGGGCCTGGTCGCGGGGGCAACAGTCTGGGGGGGGACCCCCAGACTTCCCTCTCCCTCGACACTTCCTCCAGCTCTTCTGGGGGGACCCCAAGGCGTTCCCGGGCCAGCCGAGCGACGTAGTCGCTCCCGCGTGTCCTAGGGCTTCCCCTGGGTCTCTTCCCAGAGGGACGGCCCCCGAGCACCTCCCGCGGGAGGCGTCCGGGGGGCAGGCGATGTAAATGCCCAAGAACAAAACATGTTTATATTAAAGGTATTATTTTATTACCTGTGTGACCCTGCAGATCTGGCCTTTGTATGTGGGACAGTAGCAGGCCCCGGAGAGAGGGCACTTTTCAACTGGGCGTCCACGGTACAGGGGGACATAAGAGGCTGCGCACAGGTCAAAGGGGTTGTGGGGGTCGTAGTTCAGCTGGTGGGCATCTGTCAGTGTCTTCTCACAAGCAGCCAGGATTTTGCGGGTCTAGAAAGCAGACAGACATCAATGTGAAATTAAGAACTTTTTTTTAGTTATTTTTTTAAAATTCTGTTTGATGCAAAAAATATATACCTGCTGAGCAACATCGGGCTTAGGTCCCAGCTCCAGCAGACGTCTTGCAAACCCAGCAGCCGTCTTGAAGTTACGCAGTTTGAAGAAAAGGTTCAGAGCTGTGCGCAGCACCAGCACCATGTGGACAGGCTGGAGGTTGCAGTGAGTGAAATACGCAGCCATCTGCCAGGACAAACACACAAACATCATGAATTATGATCTAGAGCAGAGGTTTTAGGTGGTGTTTGATCAGTGTGTAACGGTGTGACATTCAAAGACTGCTGTTTACCTCACACAGCCTCTTCTGGTGCTCCAGTGTGTCCTTTGGAAGCTTCTTCCTCTCGCTCTCCATGGTCAGTCCTACAATATACTCTCTGCAAATCGTGATCAGCTGCTGAGCCTAGAACAAACAAATCATATTGACAGTGGTGATCAGGCACATTTAATCATCAGATGTCAAGATGCACATCAGTAAATACATATGTTAACAATCCTGCTCTGTGCTCACCTCTGCAATCTCCTGCTTGTTATCAACCACCAGCAGAGGCACAGACAGCAGGATGGCTCTGAAACGCTCCACAGCGTCCTCAAAACGCCCCGCGGTGGTCAGCTGGTAGCACTGCTGTAGTCGGGAGATGAGATCAGAGAGACGCAGGCCCACAGCAGGCAGGCCCTGTTTGGCACCACAGTCCTGAAAAAAAAATTACAATATTATCAGAAATGGTATGTAAGACAGAAAAACATGACCATGTGGATAAAAGGTTTTCTTTAATAAGGTTAAGGCTCTACAGCCTTTGATGGACAATACCTTCCAGTTCCTCTGGGGCTGACTGCGCAAGCAGGGCAGTGACGGCAGCCCGAGGTAACAGGTACGGCCTCTGGACAGCGTCTGCATGAAGAGCGACTTGTACGGCCCAAAGTTCACCACGCCTACCTGGTCGTGCAGCAGCTGTGGAAGAAAAGGGTGAAAGTAAAATGTTAATCTATGGTTTAAGATGATTTTATATTAATGTCTGAAATCAAGCCTTTTTAAACGCACTCTCATAGCAGTTTCGAAGGAGCCAGCCAGCATGTGGTCAGCAGGCAGCTGGGAGTTGTTGCACCACATCTGGGTTGGACTCATGCCCTTGGTTGGTGGGACAAAGAAGCCGTCCTCTGTTCCTCCACCTGCAGCCGGCATGTCCTGATGGTTGGAAATGGAAAAAAAAAACTGTATATAATATAGTATTCTTAAGACTAGTATGATGAATAAAGAATAGCAAGAATAAAGTATAAAACATGGCAAATATTTTTAAATCAAAGAAGATTGAGAAGTTTCTCTCACCAGCTCTGGAGGAAGGTCCAGGTCCTCCTCCACTTCCCAGCCTCCTCCCTCCTCCTTCGCGATACCTTCTTCCCCAAATCCATCTTGGGCATCCATGAAACCATCTGCCACAAACAATCATTTATTTATATAACCCTAACAATCAGGACAACGATACAATGTGAGATCTCTTTTAGTTTCATTTACCCTCATCCAGCTGCAGTTCGGCATCATCTCCCCAGCCCTCACCACCAGGGGCGTCCATGTCCAGATCGGCAGCCATCTGACCGGCTTTACCTACAAAGGTTCCATGGTAAGTATCTTAATAATCGTTTTTGAAAACTGTATCATGTAAACAGTGGCTGTCCTTAAACATGTATAACATGTATATGTACTGTTCAATGTTGAAGATTCACCTTTAGCTGAGATGGCTCCTTCAAAGAAGCCTTTCGATACAGTGAGCAGAGGCCAGTTGGTGTCCAGAGGGTTGATGGGTGGAGGAGGCTGCAGCAGCTGTGCATTTGGATCCACCTCAGGAATCTACAGAGACCAAATACACATTAAAATCCTCAGAAATACTTACATAATAAAACAGTCAGTGTAAGAAAGGACAGCAAAACTGGCTCCAACTCACCGTCTCCTTTTCAGGGTCAAAGCTCTCCTTCAGTGCCTCAGCTTCTTCATCCAACCCATGAGTTGCAGCCGTCAAATAGGCCAGAGACTCTGAAGGGTAAGAACAACATCTGGTTAGAGTTACTGGTATTTGTTGTCTTGTTTATAAAGGGTAACAAAATCTCTGGATAATTAGGTTGAAATGTGAATATAGTAGATGAAATATTGACTTCAAAACTCACTCTGTCCACAGTTCTTCAAGATGCGGACTCTCTCGCTGACATCTCCCAGGTAAAGTGCGGCCTGGTAGTGACCGCTCATGTCCTTTCTGATCTCAGCTACACAGGGAGAACACAGAACTCAGCGACACAGTACAACATTTGACATGAGACGCACCATCTCTGAGTCTGACACAGGAAGTGACGTTATAATCATTTACCGATCTTCATCATCTTGCGCAGCTTGGCCAAGTTGCCAGTAATGAGATACAGGAAGGTGAGTTTGTCGAAGTTCTTAGTCCTTTGATAGCACATTTCCACCACCTGGTGGTGACCCTGCAGCAGTGCCGCCTCACCCAGTCTCTCCCAGCAGCTGCGCTCATCCAGAGCTTTGGCTGCCTCCAGCGCCACCTGGGAAAATGTAGAGGAATCAATTTAATCATTTTATAGTCGCAACAAAACTGAAAGAACATTTTATCTGTGTTGGGGAATGTGGTGTCTTCTCACCTCGATGTTGCCACACTCCAGGGCCAAACTAAAACGTGTCTTCTCATCTTTGACAAAGTGCAGCGCCACCTCAGGGTATCCCTTCTTCTGCAGGTAGGCAATTATGGACTGACCCACCAGTTTGGCATTACGCACCATGTGGAGAACCTGGAGAATCACAGTAAGAACAAGTTACAACATAAACTTTAAAGTAGAGCACAGAGCACCAGTGGCGTCAGACCCACCTCATCATATTTGCGGTTGACCAGGGCCAGTTTGAAGCGGTACTCTGTTGGGTCGATGGTGAGAACACGTGGCCTACACTCTCTGTCCAGACAGTAAACACTGTTTCCCCTCACACGGGTCACATAGATGGGCAGATCCAGGGTTCGGATGATGCCATGATCACTGCAGGGACAAACAGATGTTTTTTTTATTTTAAGACCTGAACACCTATCTCACCCTAACTGTGGGCTGACCTCTAATTTTAGTTTATTACAACACAACAAGATCCAAAGATGATTGATGAAATGCTTGATAATTGCAGTGTAATTAAACACAGATCAGTTTGGATAAAGAAATGTACCCAGAGGTGAGGGCATATTTGATGTGGTTGGAGGTGGTGTAGATGAAGACTCCACTCTCATCCCAGGCTCCACTCTTCACTCTGATGTTCTCATGAATGTTACAGAGACTCTCCCACTTACGGTTACAGATCATGATGGCTGTGAAACCAAGGTCAGATTAGTGAGATTATTCACTCAGAGGCATCAGCGTCTCATCCATCTTTTTTTTTTTTTTAAACTCACCGTGTTTAGCCAGCAGAGCCACGTGGCTAGTGTCGGCACTCCACACCACGTACTTGACCTTGGCGATTTTGACGGTGGCCAGAGAGCGTTTCTGCTGCACGTCGAACAGCGTGACGCTGTCGGCATCCCGCAGCAACAGTGAGCCTGTTCCTGCGTAGAAGATTTCCTCACAGTTCGGCACCTGGACTTTCTTCACTATTTCATTCTTCAGGTTCTTGATCAACAGCTACAAAGCAGAGGAAAGACAATGAGATGCAGTATAGTAGAACTGAAACAACAAATCCTCAGGGACTTACAGAATGCATCCGATCCAGTACAGCAAACCTGTTGCGAGCCACCCAGACTGCAGTCAGACCAGAGGACCTCTTCCCTTCTGGAGCTGTGAAAAGATAATAATTCTGTGACTCTGCTCTGGATCCATCAACCTTTAAATGGTCAAAAACTTAAAAAAAGGCAAAAACAACACGGACTAATTCTGAGAATCAAAGTTTTATTACCATCAGGGTTCTGAGAGTCACTCTCTTTGGGGATAGAGTACAGGTCGTAGGTGCTGTTTTCCAAGTTTGTCGCCCTCTGCGGGAGGAATACAGTATTGCAATAATTGTAGGCGACGCCCGAGAAGTTTTGTTTTTTTTTTTTAAATATGAGGGACTTACATTGCAGAGCAGGACAGCGTTCTCTGCAGGGTTGTACGACATGCTGAACACTGGGAACTTGGACCCACTAGGACACAATATTTTACAGTACGTTACAAAAGCTTCTTAGAATGGAAACAACAACAGAACTCTATCAGAGACCACAGACACTGTATTTACCTGCGGAGCTGCATGACGGCTGTGTCTTTGCTGCTGTTGAAATCCAGCTGACGGAGGAAACGGTCTTTGACGTAGTAGAGCATGTTTCCGTGCACAGCGTACGCAGGACGCTCACGCTCCAGTTTGAAAACAATCATACCACTGTCATGGCCTAAACATAAGATAAAAAAACAGTTAAATGTAGTTTTGTCCTTTTTTTCAGAACATGTCCCCACCTGATGAATTCAGAGAGGGCCATATGCAGATCACTGATAGAAATCACCTGCAGCAAACAAGTTGAGGTTGGGGTGAGCCCCCAGCACCCAGAAGCGATCGTGGTCCCTGCGGAAGGTCTGCACTCCGGTTCTCTTGGACATGTCCCACACCCTGATGCTTTTGTCCTCAGAGTTGGAGAGAATGAGCTCTTGACGTGGGTGGAAGACGGCGCAGGACACATTGTTGTAGTGACCGCGGCACGTGTCCAACTCCCAGGCCTTGGATTCTGGGGCAGATATTCAGATTTTGTAATGAAGGAAGAACCAGAAAATTAAAGAAGAATTCATGATGACAAAGGCAAACACAAACCTAATAATAGTAATTAAAATAAAACCACTTCAGTGTTTGGATAATGCAGATAGATGAAGCCCATTCATGTTAAATGGTTAAAGAATGACTCACCATTCATTCTCCAGATCTTCACCTGCCTATCATCAGCTCCAGACACGATCAGAGGCATGCTGGGATGGAAGGCTGCCCAGTTGACCCCCCTGTCGTGACCCTGGACAGACAAACATGGTCAATACGGAAACATACACTCCCATTTCAAATAAACGGTGCTAGTGCTACTTGTCCTAGCCATCCAGCCAGCCAACCAGTTGTATTTAGGTTAATTCACAAAAGTTTCCTCTCACCTCAAGAACGTGCTTGACGATGGCATCTGAGGCACCAAATAAGTCGACGCCACTGATGCCCCGCACCTCTGTCTCCACAGCACCAGGAGACAGATTCTTCTTCCTCAGACCTGGAACCAACATTCAGAGCAGCACGTGCAATGAGGGGAGCCATAATCATGTTACACACGAGGGAAATGAAAGAAGACAAATACACTGGAGGTCAATGAAAATATTCCACATTGAAACAGGATCCTGAAGAAAGATAGAGAGATGACATGTGTGGGCGGGGTCATCTGTGGGGCTACTGAACACACACACAAGGCTGGAAAACACCAACACAAATCCTGTTCTCTCAGTCCTGAAAACATGAGTCTGGAAACAATCATAGATGAAGTAGCAGTGCTGTCTTGGTTAGAGAATCATTGACACACAGGGGGTGGGGGGCAAAAGACGGGGTGGAGGGGTCACAATTACTGATGATCTGAACAGAAGAAAAGGACTGATTACTTCCCAGACTCAAATGAAACCAGGACAAAATTAAACAGAGAAAACACAGATTGTGTTTAAGATTCCAACCCATTTAAAAATGTGTGGTGATGGAGCAGCTCCACAGCAGGTCAGGAAAGAAGGAACTAGGAACCTAATGTGCAGGAGTGCATGTTTCTGGGAAGAGCATGGGATAAGGAGGTCGCATGAACATGAGGACTTGGTTGATGGGGAGGGTTTGGTGGTGGGGGGGTGGTTGATGTAAAGATGTGCTCTGATGGGGCATTGGATGTCAGGCGGAAGAGACTTCCGAGAGTTTGTTTTCAAAGACTCTCATGCATGTCTGGACTGTAGAATGACATGCCAAGTTAACAGCTATTGAGGTGGTAAAATTAGTTAGTTAGGTTAGATATAGAGTTACTAACATTGTGGATAAATATGTTATGTTATAGTTTTGGAGGGAAATGTACTGCAAGTAGAGATTAAGATTATTAGAATATACAGAGAATGTTCAAGTATCTAAAAAAATACAGTTTTTGACTATTTACTGGTTATTTTGCATGATGCAATTTTCCCCTAAAAGTGGCATTCCAACCGTTAGTAATGCTCCTTTATGCAAGGTGAACCTAACATTGACTATAAATACAAGTAAATACATCAATGTGTTATCAGGCCAGGTTGTATGGATGCATAAAAACAGGATGTATGGATGCATGTCATGCTCAAGGAGAGGAATGGATAAAAACATTAGTTCTGAGAAGAAGAGTGGACAGACAAAGGAAATCCCAGTCATGAGTAAGATGTGAGACAGTTATTAGTTCAGTGAGTGACAAGACAATCAGATGAAGGACGTCAGTCAAGAGACACTCAATAAAAACATAGTCAAAAGCATGCAGTCACAGAAATCCCCTTCCTTTTTTTCTTTCATTCAGAATGCATATCTGCAGTGTGTATTACTTTAAGAATATCACACTGTCATTGATTCTGATGTCCTGAAAGGAGAGGTGTTTCTGCAAACAGCCCACAGAGATTTGTTCTCTACAAGTCAGAGAGGCAGAGGAAGTGGTGCCACACTTTTTCAATGTGTGGTTCCAGCTTCTTCTTGGCTCTCTTTACCACTTTGCCCCACCCCTCCCAAACTCTACAACTGCCCCAAAACCCAGCCCCTGGTGTCCTTGTCCACCTTCTCCAAGCCCTCACCAGAAATATCCCACACTCGCACAGTCTGGTCCAGACTAGCGGACACCACCAGGTCCTCAGCTGGATGGAACTGGGCACACATCACGTAGTGATTATGGCCGGTCAGAACACTGTGGATAGAGAGCACAAAAAACAGTTATCTTATTTTCTCTCACATTGTCTACATGATTTTTTTAATCAACGTATCACAGATTACATATTAACATATATCCTTACAACTTGTACCTAGTACTGGGAAACAACAAGACAAGGACTAAAACTTAGCCTAATACCAAAAACACCACAGTGAAATTAACGGAACATTTTACCAGACACAAGTCCTGGACTGCCAGTTCCAGATGCGGATGGTCTGGTCATCCGAGGCACTCAGAATCCATGGGTAGTCCTAAAAAAAAACAAGTTTTTGTTTAACTCAGTCATTTACCCATTTTTCGTAAAGAGGCTTAAAAACTTACATGGTGAAAGAAGGTGGTCCGGATATAGTCAAGATGTCCAAGTAGAGTGAAGAGGCAGCGCCTCAGCTTGTAGTTCCACACCTGGAACAAAAAAACAAAAACCAAAAAAATCACAAAATTGAACCATTCGTATTACAGCTTGAATGAGTGTAACAACATACTTAGTGCTTGACATTTCATATGCAACTAAGAGAACATCTGAGCAAAATAAAACCAAATGCAGTCACTTCTCGAGTTTAAATTGCCTTAAATCGGACAAACCTTAATTTTGTAATCGTCACCTCCAGACACAAACAGAGGCTGCTGTTTGTGAAAATCAATTCCTCTGACCGGACCTGATGACCAGAACATCATGTCATTAGAAACAGAAAATCAATGTCAAATACTTTATTTTATTTTTCTCCCACATAAACAACACCAGTGCCTCACCGTCATGTTCATCAAACTTGTCAATTAGTGTGCACATCCGGTAATCCCACAGCTGGATGACTCCGTTGTGTAAACTTGCCAGAACCCATGGCCTTTTCGGATGGAAACTTAGACCTGAAATAACCAACAGTTATTTTTTTGAAGCATCATCTTCATAATGAACACGCGACGTTCTTTCACCAATCTTTAAAGAGATCATAAATGCAAGTATTTTGCAGGTTTATTACGCTAGATCGGCTAACAGGCCAATCTCACAGTCATAGTCACTGAATGAGAAGTAAATGGTGACATTGCAATTGATAAAGTAGTACGCAATATAATAGTGCAATGGATTATATTGTATTTAAATGTAAAGACACATTTGAAAAACAGAATAAATGCCTTAGACAAATAACGTCACCCGGCTACCGTTAGCTTTGCTGCTAAGCACAGCAGGTTTGTGACTTACCTTTTACACGGGCCGACTTCGTTTCAAACTTAGTTAACATTGTAACTGGATGGTTGTTAACTAAAGGTCCAGTACGAATTTTGTTCCCGTGTTAATTCCACACAAGGCGTAAAAACAAAATGAAATTGTCTGTTAGCAAATGAAGACAGACGGCCTGCCCTCCTTCGCCCACTGAGCTGATTCTCCTCACTTCCTGACACGTAGTCCGTTCTAACTTCCGGTGTTATGCGACGTTTGGTGTCCACGCAGACAGATTGCCATCACCCATCACCCCGTTTGTTTACAGATGTGCACATTACAGTAATTTCACAGTATACATTTAATGTTTAAAGTTTGTACCAAAACTACAGCCTATTGAATCTGACTAAATTAGTTTAATGCAAAAAACATATAAACTGTATGTACAAAAGTCGTTTATTCAAGTTATATTGGACTCCAAAACGCGCAGGTGAACCAGTTTTGTCGGGTAACCTTACGTTGTGTAACACAGCCTTGCTGCGACTCGACGGAAGTAAAATACTGACGCAGAAAGCTCCACGGCGGCGCTACATAGAAATAAACAATATAGAAAATTACCCAAGAGCTGTGGGATTCAAACTGTTTAAAGTTAAAACGTTAACTTTGAATGTTGGAATGAGAGCTGGATGTCACACACTTTAAATTAAATGTTTTGAATGACAGTCCAAAGGTTAAATAACTGTATATAATAACTGTAGATACCTAGTTTTAGGTTAATCAACAAATGTTCTTATGTTTAATTACATTTGTATGCTCTCTAAAAGTCAGCTGGGTTTATTAACATGATGGAACAAGCTGAATCCCAGTATCATCTCACAATTTAGTGCATCACAGTTCCCCACTGCCTCCCAAAAAATTGAGACAGTTCAAATTATCGGAAATTGGAAAAAGCACATATACATTCACAACATTCAACATTTCTTTCAGCATGTCTTTTTATTAATTTTATTTACAAAACTAAATATCAATCAACAGGATGCAATTTTTTAGTGTTGCTAAAAATTATGTTTTGCTTCAAAGGCCCTGGAAGTGGAACAGTTTTTGATCTTCCTTCACCAAGAACACCACGTCCACAGAGGCCTCCTGTCGACCATCTTTTGAATCTGCTCTTATTTCAGTGCTGAGTAAATCCGTTCACATTCTATAACCGTTTATTATACAGGTAAAGATGAGTGATGGGTGTGACATTTCTTGACTTCTCCTTCTGTCTTTCTTTAGCAACAGTGGAAAAATTTTAGCCATTGACAACGGACATAAACCACAAACAAACAAACAAAAAAAAAAAACCGAATCAAGTCCAAGTAGAGGCTCTACAAAAATAATAGACACATCCTTTTCATTGTAATCCGTGATTTGATTATTTTTTACATTTCCTGTAAATTGTCTTTAACCATAACTCTATGTAGAAGGTAAACAGGATACTGGAGGTAAACAACACATCAGTGTTTCCCTCCCCCACATGGGACCTCATACAAAAGATGACACTGCACAATAAAAACAACATGAATCACAAGGGAAGCACCTTTTTAAGGTAACTCTAGAATATAATAACCATCTCACCACAGCAAAGACATCAGGGAGCTAGCATCTCCATTTAGAATCATGGACAGTGTATAAGAACTAATTGTAGCCATAGGGTTGTAAGTGTATTCCAGATGTTCAGACAGAAGTAGCTGCATAGGTTCAGGATCATTTAAAAGATAAACCAATTGATAAAAACAGGATTTTTATCGAACCCCAGGCTTCAAAATCTGTGATTTCTAGGTCCATCTCTTACACACAGTCTATGCTTCCGAACCGTATCTGGGAATGAGAAGTCTAGAAGGTTTGGGGAAGCTGGGCATGTCACAGATATTCCTGGGAATTACATCTCATAATATCATTTTAAATAATTAACATGTGTACAATGTCTTTCACTAGCTACTGTTCCATTAACATAGTATTCACTTAAAGTTATTTATTAAAATTGTTAAATTAACTGTTAATTTGACTCGTGTCAACAAAATTTTGGATGATCTGACAAATACACACACTTTAATCTGAGGTTCTTTGTTGAATGATGGATTTGAAATCAAATTAAAAAGTTAGAGTCCATCAGCCAAAGGCACAGTTTTAACTGTAAGGTGGTTCAATAGATTTTACCCTAATGTAAAAACATATTAAAAATGGGCAGTGGTTTTGTTTTAACTTTGAAGGAAATGGAGCTAAAATGGATTATGACGTCAAACAACAAATGCATACATCGTTCTTTGCTGTTATTTTGTTGTTAAAACACACGTTTGTGGGTGGTGGTTTCAGAGGCCTCTCCCACACTCACACCTTCATCATAACAGAGAACAGTGTTGGCTGCAGGTCACAGTGCTGTGTATGACCACGGCTTCACACGCCGTCTTCACTTCCTTGTTCCATCTTCATTGCTGACACACAAACACAGAGAAGGACCCTCTGGTCTGAGTGTTTTTGGATGAGCTGCATGTCTGCCTCATCACATGACGGAGCATTGATCTGCTGCTCCGGCTCCGGCTCCTGCCCCACCGGGGAGAAAAAGTGACTCCATGTCAAAGTTGAACCCTGGAGGCTGAAGAGGAAAAGGGAAACAATCGTGTTTACCAACATCCAGATCAACCTGACAATACCATCAACACATTATCAAAATTAAAACGTCAGAGTAATAAAACTTACCGTATCACCTGCCAGTTCTTTGGGTGGTTGGCCAAAGTCTTGTAGCTGTAAGAAAAAACCCATTGAAAATCTATCCCATGATATCCTATTTTATTAGCTTTGTTTGAAACACATCAGTTAAAGTATAACTTGAATTAATGATCAAGAAAGTAAAACAGTATCCACCTGTTGCATCAGACCCATGATGCTTTCAAATGAGCCGTCTTTGTCATCTGCTCCGTGTCCTTCCTCCTCAAAGTGTTTGCAGATCTCCCCCATGACTTTGGCTTGTTGTTCGTATCGCTGGTAATCTTCCGCACTGAGGCTCGTCTTGTTGGATTCTAGCCATTCTGGATACTGTGGGTTCAAGACTGGTTTACAAACAGTGGCTGGAAGAAACACAGTGCATCAGCTAGTACTGAAAGAAAAATGCATACTTTGGTGGTGATCTCTTTGAGTGATGGATAAAGTACATCCTTAGAAAGAAGGTTCTTCATTATGGACTGCATGATGGGCAGGATGTTTCCATCATCACCGTCTCCTTCACCGCCCTCCTCCAATCTCAGACCTTCCAGAGTCTTCACAAGGTCGTCACCTGCTAGTCCTGTCGACTGTAAAAAAGAAAAGAAAAAAGAAGGTAAATAAGTAACACTGCTGAACATATGAAAATGAAAATGTTTACCAGCAATACCTGTAAATTATCTGCATTTTTGGCAAGTCCATGCAGGGTTTCTTTAAGACAAGAGGTAAATTCTTGTTGGGAGGCTGTGTCAGTGCCTAAAAAATAGAATAGTATCTATAGGACACAGGAACAGAATGGGTTGACTAATTAAAGTATGTTTTTTTTTTTAAAGAATCAAAGCCCTCACCAACTTTTCCAGCTGCCTCAGATAATTTTTGGAAGTGTTGCAGTAACTCTGGCTCGTCCTGAGCTAGCTCACTCATGGCTTTCTCCCATTCCTCCTTGGCTTCAGCAGCTAACTCCCCTTCAAAGAGGGTTTCAAAGAGTTTTGTGTCCTCAAGCAAGGGCGTCTACATGGGTAAATATAAGAAACATTGTTTTAAAAGCAGAAAGAACAAAAACCAGAAGAATAAAGAATGTGCAAACAGACCTTCTGAGCTCCACTGGTGGCTGAGGAAGAAGCAGCAGCTGGTTCAGGAGCAGCAGAGATTGGTGTTTTGTCAAAGTCATCTAATGCACCTGGAAAAAATAAAAAACAATAAGTAAAATAATGACCATGCACTTTATGCATCTCTAACATTTAAAGTTTTTTTTTTAGTATTTATTATCATTCAGAACACAACGCAACAATATAACACCGTGTTTATTTACTCAGGAGTACACAGAGGGCTGAGCAGACAAGTCGACATTCCTGTCCTTCCAGTAAACTGTGCCCCTCCCCCCCAAATAAATGCACTGAAAGACGTTTAACGACGTAAAACATATACGTGACCAAACCTATTACTAGGAACAAACGGACATAAATGCATATTTGCGACAATGTATCTATATTAGAGGCAGAACTCAGACGTCCCACGAAGACTGAAGCTAACCCCGAACCAGGAGGGCAGATAAGAAGTGAAAAACAAAATGTACGCAAGTCAAAATCATGTCAGTAAATTCCAGGCATGAATTCAATGTCTTACTATCCAATAAGTCGTCCAATTCTGCGTCATGTCCAGCAGAAGACCCTCCTGTCTCGGACGCCATGTTCGCTAACAGTGACAGAGCAGGAGTCCGTAAATTGTGGCAAAATGTCGTAAAAATCAGCCGGTAAGCATCAGCGGACTTTGACAGATTAGAATTAAATAGAAAAACACGTCGAGACACAATATTTATTAATAATTGGTTTGTAGAGGAACAATGAATACAAACGAAAAAAAAATCAATGCCTTTTTTGACAGTTAATCGTTAATCAAAGTTGATTGAGATTCATATAAGAAAAATATAAGTAAGTATATTTTTATTTAAAATAATTTCAAATGTAATTGCTGCTTTTTATTAGCAAGTAACATAATATTATTGTTTATATCGCTCCATTAAACGTTTCAGTCAAATTACATTTTATCATTGGTTGCAATCTGGCTCCCTCTTCTGGCAAACATTAAAATGAGAGGCCAAGTGGTTACATTTTTTAAAAACACTGAACTGAAATGAAATGAAAGCCTATCAGGATTGCTGAAATTAAGATTTAAGAATAAAGCTATAACCATCTCATCTAGTACTTTCTAAATATTTTTTAAGTAACTAAAGCCTTTCCTCAGCCACCTCAGTGAGGTTTTACTCTCATAATAAAAAGAAAAGTGTTTTTCCTTTGTTCTTCAATGTTAGTTAACTTTGAATCACTTGAATTTGAAGTAAATAATTGTCATTGCACTCAATCAGCGTGAGGATTTATTACGTGAGCCATTTTTGTATCTCAGCTGTGACTTTTCAGCAGTCCAGACGTTTGTTTTCCGGCCTCTGGGGTTTAAGCAGAAACACAGCAACAGCTGCTGTAAGTGGTTGGTATCACTCAGACGGTGTGAGCTCATAGCAGTCATTGGAGCTGAACCCACCCAGAATGATTCTGAATGTTTGAGCTAAGTTTTGGATGCCCTGCAGCGTCACACCGCTCCATTAATGTTTCGCTGTGACATTAGTTTCCCTTCCTTCTCGAAACATAGGCAACATCTGCTGATTTATGCTGATTTATGTCCCATCAGTAAAGGACATTACAATTGCGGCTCTGTCCGTGTATTTAAAACTTTGAGTAAATATATATGGTTGTCAGGGGCAACAGCTGCGGGTGCTTAGTAACCCACACAAATAACCTCCGCCTGTGGTGACAGAACCGACAAATATTTATCTCATATGACTCGTATCGATAGAAACACTTCTGATCATGATACAGAGATTCAAAAAAAAAAAAAACAGCAGCTTCTGTGACAGCAGCAGCATCCGTTTAAAAAACCCTAGTGTGTGTGTGTGTGTGTGTGTGTGTGGAAGGTGGACGGGTGTGGAAGCCACAGAATGCAAAGCTGTTAATTTTATAAACCTTGAAACCTTAACTGTTACATTGGGGGTCAAAATGTTTTTTTGCTTTTTTAAAATTGTAAAACCTATTGCAGGGCCGACGGTTCTACCTGTGATACCGGCTACGACTGAACCTCTGAGACTCTTCTGAACACATGGATCGTCTCAGTCACAAATATTATAAAAATGTACCATATGATCTTTTCAGATTTTTAAAGGCTCAGTCATTAAACTAAGTTTAGAATTAGTTGAAGGCCGACTCAAAGTATTGGCAAAGAAAATAAACTTTATCTAAGAAATTAGGTTTGAAATGTTGAGTGATAAAATAGTCACTGAAAAATGAAAAATCTATAGAAGCAGAGAAGCAGTAGTTCTCCAAGAAGACAAACATCTGCTGCACCACACACACTGGGTGTGTTCAGCATCAGGGAAGGAGGGAGAGGAGGAGGAAAAGCCAGACAGATGTGAGGAAAGGTGGTCGGTTCTCTGGACTGGGAGGAGCTGCTCGTTCTCCCATCCCTCCCCCTCTCGCAGAGAAAGTAGTAAACCCAGTCAAGGAGGGTGAGGAGACTCAATCTGTGCGACTGTTGGACATCCTGCAGAGCAGCAGCAGCAGCAGCATTTGGCGGCAGCAACACAAGGTAACAGACTTTCACCCAGAAACCTATAAATCATCCTGGGAGATTTTTGAGATTTGAAGGAAATCTTTTCTTTATTCAGTTAAAACTTGTTGCATCTTTCCTTTACTGCTCTGTTCATGACTAAAGTCTGACAGCAGCTTCATGTGATAGTAGAAAAAAACATTCAATTAAAATACGACTAACAGAAAATCCATACATCACCCGCTTTATTTGACTTTTAATGATTTTTGGCTGTTTTGTTTTTTTAAATTTATTTCTTGACGGATCCGCGTCAAATATGAAAAGGTGAATTTTCTCCTTTAATATATTGGTATTTTGGAGATTACATTGGTGTGTGTGTGTGTGTGTGTGTAGTGGGGCAGGGCGTGGCAGGCTACCACACCCACCCTGACTGCCAATGAATGAAGAAACACGACGTCTTCTTGACTTCCTTATCTCAACTTTAACTTCTGTGATTTTTTTTGTTTTAAATTTTTAAACTAATCAGTGGTTACCACAGAGTCTCTGACCCCACGGTTACCGTGAGTCACAGGAGAGATGCTTCAGAGGAAGAGGAGAGGGAGGAGGGATGTGTGTCAATTAGAGTTGTCACTTTTTGGAAATAAAAAGCAAATTAACGAGAGTGGAGTTTATCCTGAGATCATACTTTTTCTACTTCCCATTTATTCTATTGTCCTCTCTTCTCTTCTCTCCTCTCCTTATCAATATATACAAACTTTACTTTTTTTTTTTTTTACGTCACATGTCAAACCCACATTTTCTTACATGATTGTGCATTTTATACCATGACTTTTCTTCCTCTTTTAATAATGATTCCCCTTCTCTTTAACTAGTTTTTTCCATTCTCTTTCTTCTGACTTTTTATCCTATAATTATGACATTTGTCTTTCCAAACCAAACGTTTTATGTCCTATTTTAACTTTTTATCTGTGATATATTTGTGATAAACTGTTAGCGTAGCCGTCAGTGTGGAGATTCATGAAGTTGCTGATTCGACAACATTGTTTTCCGTGCAAACCAATCGGGTTTCACTCCGTGTTTTAGGCTCTTGGCCCAGGAGCCTAAAACAGGGAGACTCATGGTCTGTCCCGGTGCACACACACACACACACACACACACACACACACACACGTCCACAGACAATAGCAGCGTTCTGTGGGAAAAACACTCAGAGTGGAATTCTGTTGTGCATTTTTCCACAGTTTTAACAAGCCTATTCCTACAGGTACACACACACACACACACACACATACACACACACACACCAACATGGTTCCACCAACAGAGCTCTACTCGTGCATCCACTCATGGATCCCCTCTAAGTGGATTATGGGTAAAATTGAGTTAGATTGACGAAGCGTCCTGACAACCAAACAAGCAGAGCACTCAGCCAAACACACACACACACACACACCAGTTTTCTGAACGTGTGTTTGGATCTGTGTGATTGCACAACAGCGTTGTTGCTTCCTGTTTGCGGTGTTTCAAAGTGAGCATCACAGTGATGTAACAGCACGACTCTGATTCTGAGATGGGGATCTAACGATAGTTGACGAACCATAGGATCGGCAATTTGTTTTTTGAAAGAAGTCTTGTTTGACAGAGGAAACTCAACCGGATTCTTAAATTTAAAACATGGGGCACGGAACAGGTCGACGATTAAAGCTAAAACAATCACCGCAGAACACCAAAGTATGGCTGCAGTTAGGACAATACAGCAGTGCTTTCCAAATTGGGGGGGCGGGGCCCCATTAGAGGTCATGGCGCTACTGCAGTAGGGAGTGCAGGGGGCGCTCTGGTGTCTTTATTTCCTTTGTCAAATGCGAATAGCACTCGTGTAGAAATCACAATGTTTTAATTAAAGAAAAAAAAGTTTGTTTTGAAGGAGTAGCTGAGAAGCTGTCGAAGTGGGAGGGGCTTAAAAAAATAGACCTATCTACCAAAGGGGGCGCTGCAAAAAGAACCACTGCCAATCACAGGCCATGAAAAAAGGAACAGCAGCTAATCCCACTCACATTCACAGCCCCCCCCGGCGGGGAAACACTCCATTGCACTAAGGTTAAACCAGTGATAGGTCTAAATTCCCCCCCCCCCCGTCACCTGACCCCGGTCCAGAGTCTCTGAGAGATGAAACATACTTCAGTCAAAAACGTTTTAAAAAACATTTTCATGTGGCTCACACACTGCACACATCTGCCCCCCCGCCCGCTGAGGCCTTGTTGGCGTTCCTCGTTTTTTATCCCCCCTCCGCCATTTTCTTCTCCCATTTCTTTCCTGACTCGATTCCATATGCAGTACAGTCATGGCGGCGGCGGCGGTGGAGCTGGTGGCGTGATTGATTTTTCCATTACGACCCTGAGCGTACATTTATTTTGAGAGCGTTTACATGAGGTGTAATTGGTGCCCTGACTCTAAAGCTGTAGTGGGCGTATTGAGTATGGGCGGGGGGGGGGGGGGGGGGGGGAGGG